TTGGTGTGTGGGGGGGGGAGGGGAAATAGGAAGGAAAAAAGAAAAAAAAAAAATTGTTTTTTTTTTTTTTTTTTTTTTTTTTTTTTTTTTTTTTTACAAATAAACATGTTAAGGTTTAGCATGTAATATGTAAGCCTCAAAGGGTTTTTTTAAGAGAACATTTGAGAAAAAATTACATCATGAAGAGCAAGGAACTTGTGGAGAAGTTTAAAGCAGAGTTGTGTATAAAACAATATCCTGAGCGTTAAGCATCTTCGAAAACACTAAATGGAAAATGGAAAGAGAATGCTGCAGCTGTACCAAGGCACGGTCAACCACATTGATGGATCGGACAGACATTAAGGGTATTGACAAAGAAAGTCATGTTGAACATGCAGCAAACGTGTGTTTGGTATTTCTTGGCTTATGGTACGTACAAAATGCTAGGCGTGATGGAAACTATGCTGTACATTTTCATGAACACACCACCCCTTCTGTGAAATATGGTGGTACCTGCATCATGCTGTGGGAATGCTTTTTCCAGCAGGGACAGAGAAACTGATCAAGAGTTGATCTAAGACAACCTGGGAGGAAAAACTGTTGAAGGCTGAAAAAGAGTTCAGACTTTAGAGAAGATTCACATTCAAGCAGGTCAACAAACCTAAACATCCAGCCGGAGCTAAATTGGAAGAGTTTAGATCAAAGCGTATTCATGTGATACGATGACCCAGTCAAAGTCCAGTCCAGTGAGACTTGAACACTGATGTTCAGACTTTAATCTGACTGACCTCAAGCTGTTTTGCAAAAAATAGGGGAACATTTTCTGTCTCTAGATTTGTAAAACTGGTAGAGGAACACCCCCAAAGACTTGTATCTTTTAAAAAAAATTGTTAGTTTGTGTTGGTCCGTCACTTAAATCTGACAAAATGCTGCAGGGTGGTGTTAAAACCTTTGAAAGCCTTTGGATTTTAACTTAAACCTTCTTTTCTCAACTCTTTTTCTACTTTCTGGTCCTGAAGGCTCAACGCTACGTCACGCAACTCAAGTCCCAAATCAACAGTTTGGAGGCAGAGCTGGAGGAGCAGCGCATGCTCAAGCAGCGCGCGCTGGTGGAAAACGAGCAGCTGCGCATGGAGCTGGAGGCGAACCGCCGCCGGAACGCAGAGCACGAGAGTTTACAGGGCACCTTCCTGGAGGCAGAGAGTAAGATGCGTTAATGAAGCACTTTGTTTGGCAAATCCTGCAAAGCATGAGCAAGATAATTCAACCTGATCATCTCCGAATGTGAAGGAAGGGCTCAAGCGACCGAGCAGCGATACAACAAACTGAAGGAGAAACACACAGAGCTGGTGGCCAGCCATGCTGAACTGCTCCGCAAGGTACAGACTCCAGAGTCGCTCAGAGATGTTTGCTTTCAGCTAGACTGTGGCCAGACGGCCTTGTGTTGTAACGCTGAGTGTGCTAATGTGCTAACAGAGCGCAGACACTGTGAAGATGCTGTCGGCCACCCAGCAGACTCAGGAGGAAGTGGAGAGGACGAAGCAGCAGCTCAGCTTCGAGGTGGAACGAGTCAAACAGGAGGCGGACATGAAGGTTGGTGCTTGTTGTTTAACTGGGATCACAAGAAATGTGTGTGTGATTACATTAAGCCCCACACAACTTTATTTATTTTATTTTAAACAAATAAAATAAATAAATGTGATATTTATTTTATTTTGCGGGATAGATTGATTGTTTTTGGAGCACAGCGGCATCCCATAAGAGCATCTGAGTTGAGAAATTGAGCAGGAAACATCAAAAAGATGTTGTATGGAGCTCCAGTAGTGCCAAAGAAAATCTGAGTATATAGTTTGGTGGTCTTAAAAGGTTTTCTGTAAAATAGCCTGAATTTATTCTTGCTTTTTTTTTTTTTTTATTTACAATGAATTTCCAAAAAAATTTACTCTGATTAGAGTCAAATATGGCAGTTTCTTGTTTTTATTATAAATGTATAAAAATTTTATGTGGATATTAAACAAATAAAAAACAAGCAACTGTAAACGTATATAAATAATTTCAGCAAGTAAAAACACAGGAAATTTCCAGTTTTGTAGCTGGTGCTTACCTGTGCCAAACCTCTGTAAAGTTGCTTTAGTTTATCTCGGCTGCATTAGTCTTTGTCCACTGATGGAGCTAAGGTTTTCAAAAGTTTGTAGCCTTGATTATGATATTTCTAAAAGGTTCCTATATTGCATAAGGCCAAAAAACTCTGATGAGGGACAGAAAATCCTGATTTAATTTCCCTGAAAACTGTTGCAGCTGCTGTGACACTTGTACTTCTGATGGAGTCTCCTGTCAGCTTTACTTTGATACTAAGATTATTGAAATGGTTTGTAATCTAAATTAGATTTGGCTGTTATTTTAAGCATACTTCAGAAAACCCTGTGGCGCTCATGAGGTGGTGTCTCTGCAGATGGAGGAGCAGAAATTTGAGATGGAGCGACTGAAGAGAGAGCTGGAAGAGAAAATGGCAGAGGTGACACGGGTGAAGGCGACTCTGCAGAGCAGCGAGATGGTGAGAGAGCGTCTGCAGTTACTTCACCAATGTCCTGCTAAGCCAGCTCCATTCAGAGCTATCACCAGTTCTGCTGGCGAAGCGCAAGACTTTTCCGCATGGATTTTTTCCTTTTTTCACTCACGGCCATCTGCTTCTTCTGGCTTTGCTCGTCACCCTCTCTTTTCTTTTTTCTTTTTTCCTCGCCAGACATCGTTGGAAATGAACAGCAGCATGACGGCTCTGCAGGCGGAGAAGGAGCGCCTGATGCGATCTGTGAGGGAGAAGGAGGCAGAGCTGTCATCTCTGCGGCAGGAGGCGCAGCTGCAGCAGTCGTCGCTTCAGCAGGAGCGGGAGAGGAGCAGCAGGGAGCTGGGAGAGCTGCAGGGCAAACTGAGGGAGAAGGTCAGTCAGGACGCAGGAGTCCCACTGCGTTACTTTTTAAAATAAACAGACACGACCACCGTAAATGTCAAATGGACCATCAATGACCCGTCACAGAATGTGAATGGGAGCTAGAAAGAGGCTCTTAATGTCAAAACTGTTGTTCTGTTACCTAAATTGTGTGTGAGGTTACATTTTCTGATATTCTCAAATCGGTGACAACTTAATATTTTGTTTTTAAACAAGTGATAAACGTCTTCAAGTCCAGTTTATAAGCACCTTGTGAAAAGAAGACAATCAATAGCTGAAGTTTAGCCAGGGCCTATATGGACACCAGTGGATATCGACTGAAAAAGAAAAACTGAATTCAAATTAATATCAAGCATCAATGAGTAAAATATTGTTGAATTTACAGTTTTTTGGTTACATCAGGGGATTTTGTCTCTCCTTTGTCATGACAGTAAAACGGGTCGCTCTTCAGACAAAACGGTTTAAAATTACAAAGGTCTAAACGGCAGCCATTAAAACCTGCTGTGTTGCCTCACTAGCTGCCAGGAACTTTGACTTGATCACTCTGGATATATTTTAACTTTAAACAGCACAGCCCACTAACGCATTTCATTTTTTTAATTATTATTGAAATGTTAAAATTAAAAATTTTAAGAACAAGACGCCGTTCATCTTTTAATAACCGTAGTTTTTACTTTCTTTTAAATTTCATCATAAGTAGGACCACAATTATTCAGCAGTTTCTACCAAAAAGCAGTAAAGCCAAAATGTATTTATAGCTCTGTCAGATTTTGATTAAAATGATTTTCTTTTGACTAAGAAGAGTTTGTTTGTGATCAGAATGGGGCCTGATATCAATTAAGACAATAAAGCCATAAAAGGAGCATCATATATATTTCTTTGTTTACCTTTTTAAAGAATGGCTTCTTAAAAATTATCTGTACGCTGCTCAAAAATCGACATAAAAATATTTATTGGCAACATTACAATCAAGCGCTTCTAAGAACTGCTGACCAGCTTTGTGAACATTTATCCAGTGACGAACTCAAAGCCTTGGCATCACCCTGATCTGGCTGTTTTCAAAACAATCTTATCAAAAGCATCAGCTTCTTTTGTGTCTGCTGATCTATCCAGAAGCTTTGCTCAGCTGAGATCCAGAAGGAGGCCCAAGATGAGTGATTGCAACACTTCAGATTAGTCAATGTATTATGGTAAACTGCTACAGCGACTGATCACACCTGCAAACAGATTAATAGTCTCACGTTTTAAGCTCTTTAAATACACTGATGCATTGCTGTTGGGTTGGATGACTTGTACTGACGCATGCATACTGTACGCGTTAATCATTGTTTTTACATGTGTGCTCTTCTTGTGTGCTTATTTGTAGACCAGTGTGGAGGAACAGATGAAGAAGAAGCTTTCGGAGGAGCAGTTTGCTCTGCTCCAAGGCACCATATCAGAAGCTGAGAACATCATCCAAGATGCTGTTGCCAAGCTGGATGATCCTCTGCACATACGCTGCACCAGCTCTCCAGGTCCGAAAGCTACAAAACCCACATACCTAAAATTAAAAGCAGCTAAATCCTTCATTATAAATACGAACTTGATGTTGACATACAGCACAGCGTGTATAAATATTTTGGATTTGGTTTTTGTTTCTCCTACACACAGATTACCTCATAAATCGAGCGGAGGCCACGTTGAGCTCCATCGACAAAATGCAAAAGGGACATGGAGATTATCTGCGCAACATGGAGGGTGAGTTCCTTCTCCTCCTCATGACGCAGTGCAGTCGGTTCAAAAGGTTATCTGATGTAACCATCTGCTCCCCTACTTTATGCTCTCGTAACCAGACGCTGGCGGGCTGCTGAGGTCTCTGACCCAGTTCTCCCACTTGGCCGCGGACACGATCGTCAACGGCAGCGCTACGGCACACATGGCACCCACTGACCAAGCTGATCGTAAGGAACACTGAACTGCTGGACACGCATCACACTTCCTCCTTACATGCATATGTCTGCAGAAGCATTAATTTTAAAGCGAGTTTGTTCTTGGACAACAAGCCTTGCAGAAATGTTGCTGACAGAGCGTCTTTGCACTGTGATGTCCTGCAGGTCTGACGGAGAACTGCAGAGGCTGTGCCATGCAGAGTCTGCAGTACCTGAAGGAGCTGAAATCCAAGAACACCCTGCAGAGGGCCGATCCAGCTTCTGTTCGACTGATTGTGCAGAAGATCCTGCACCTGGGTCAGGTGAGGGGAAACAGTAGGATTTCTGCAGAGATGCTGTGCATCGCACTTTTTGTCCTCACTGTTTTGCAAAACATTTTTAAGATGATGGCTCCTTGAATAATACAGTTGTTGATTGTTTTGCAAATTATGACCAATGGAGCTGATTTACTGAAAATAAAAAATGTTCTGCTATCATGTGTAACTTTTCATTGGCTCAAACATTGCTCTTTTAAAGTTATAAATATAAACTTCCATGTGTTTTTATTGGGATTTTATGTGATGGGGGACAAAAATTATTTTCTTCCAAATAAAGATCTGAAAGGTGTGGCATGTATATATTTACCCCCCTCACTCTTGACGCCACATAAAACAAATCTGGTAACCAATGGCCTTGAGAAGTCACTATTCCTGGTAATTGGACCCATGTGTATTTTATTCATTGTTTCTGTGGTTCTGTGGTCTTAGGATGGGTTAAATCAGCTTCAGCAGCATAACTGTGAACATGTTGATGATCTGCCTGTTGGGTAGATTTTATGTTTTGGGGATTGATGCTCTTGTCCTGATGGAACTGTTTTAGTATCCTTCTCTTGAGTTTTGCAAATCAATTTTAATATTTTTTTTTAGCAAGAGTACACTTTAGATAAGTGGTGGTTTGATGTTTAGTCTGGCTAAACAGTCTAAATGAACTTTAAGTGTTCAGTTTCTCTTGCTTTTGGGACAAATTAAATACAAATTGCTGTGATCAAATGGTTATTTGGACTAAATGCTGCTATGTTTTTTTTGTTGTTGTTTTTTTAGAATGAAAAGTTGTGATTACTGTTGAAAATAAATTGTGGTGATATGATTTCTCTACTGCACAGTCTTGTAAAAAAAAAAAACAGCTCAGTGGACAAACTGTCACATTTATATTTTCATCAGCAGTATAATCTCTGAAATATGTTGTTTAGGTAGTCGTTTGGGGACGGCAGTTGCACAACGTTACACTTCTCAGGAAACTTTAGTTTTGAACACCATCCCCAATGGCACAATTATTGGCACCTCTTCCACTCATACTAGTTCAACCTTTTTTTGCCGAAAGCGTTCTGGTAAACAATTATGTGAGAGAGATAATGCTGCTAGCGTAAAATATTAAATTAATAAATATCTTTCATTCTGCTTAACCTGGTGGAGCCAACAGATGTTTGGCACTGCGTGTCTCCCAGAGAAACTCTGAATGAGCTCTGAGAGATGCAGCTTGAGATTAACACTTCTGCTTTGCTTTTTTTCCCCCCCATTTGTTTTTGTTGCAACATGCTTTTAGTTTTTTTTTCTTTTTCCACCTAAACCCAGACTGAAATGGTTTTGACTGCGTTTTCTATTTAGGAGCTGCGGCCGAAAGGAATGGACATCCGTCAGGGCGAGCTGGGAGATCTGGTGGATAAGGAAATGGCAGCAACATCAGCAGCTATTGAGGAGGCTGTACGCAGGATTGATGTAAGCAGTGACGTACCGTAGCGCGCGCTGTTCAAAAATTTTATTTTAAATTGTGCCTTTACTGCAGATAATAATTGTCCTGTGTGGATTTCAATTTAGGAAATGATGAATCAGGCACGGAAAGACACATCAGGGGTAAAACTGGAGGTCAATGAAAGGTTTGTTCTTTTTT